GGATCTATTAACAACAATAAATTGAAATTAATAAACGCAATTATCCGAAAATCCGGAGCAAAACGTTCGTCAAAGCTATTCCCTACCGCGCCACCCCTGCGCCGCCGTCGCTTTATCAAAACAACCCCCGGGGAGCACAATGGCAATAGCGACTTAATCAACTTATCGACGGTGGAGAATTACCCTTAATCAACCCCGTATAGCGGATGTAAGCGTGGCGAGGAGTATATATAGAAGTTGTACAAAATTCTGAAATCGATGGCTCTACATCTTAAAGCTGGTCAATATGCAACGTCCGTAAGTTTATTGTACGATTTTTGAATTAGATGTGATAAATGAGAATGGAAAGGGAGCTCTTTTTTTTTCAAAGAAACTTCCGCAGGCTGTGGGACTTGGAGGTACACATCTTCTTACAAAAAACCAATATAGAGTCCCAAATTTTTTCCACAAGAAAAAGTTGCGTTAATGGAGAATTTAAAATCAATATGTTCGATCTCTTTAATAACCGTGTTTGATTGATTTAGAATTAAGCTATGTGGTTTGGGTATTTTAGCAATCACTTGAAGTGCAAATCACAATCTAACCGAAACTATTCAACAATATGTAGATATCGCGCTACAAATATGTTTTTATTTTTTATCTTAAAAACAAAAATATATAGAACAATAAAATTTTACGGAAATATTGCTATTTTCAAAACAGTTCTATCATTTTTCCCACTAAATTTAAGGAAAAACTGATGTAATGACAAAAATATTTTTGTTATTTCATGTTTTCGAATCACATCAAATCAAATTTATTAAATTGTGAATACATCAGAACAAATATTAGAGTACATCAGAAGCACCTAGGTTATCTTGTTGTAAACCTACACAAATATTAAGCAAAAAATACTATCCCCGAGATAGCGTATTTATAAAGTCTCTTTTTGGGTGTATATTATAATATATAATGGACGAAGTTTTTGTAAGAATTTCTAAGCGAAACGTTTTTGAATGCAATCGAAACTCGATTCGTCGTTGGAATCGAAACCGATTTCTAGGTTGAAAGCTATATTTCCGTTGTGATCGGGAAGATTCCATAGGATCTTCTGCTACATATCGGTAGTGAAGCCTCTTTGCTATAACGTGTGGTCCGCTATTCTTTGGAAATAGCATTTTACCTTTTCCATCGTTCGTTGCACAACAATAAATATTGTTCCATACTTCCGATGAGCATCAAACCTTGTCTTTTGGAAACACTATTTTTCCTCAAGTTGAGCATTTATGTTAGCTCTTTTTTCGGTCTCACTCTCTATTATGAATTTGTTGTCAAGAACTAACTAACTATTTCCTGCGGGAACATATCCAAATGATAATTCGTAGGGAGACTTGCCCGTTCCAGAATTCAACGTTGAATTCGGTCATGATCCATTGATGCTCAATATCCTTGTGAGGAGATTCGTGATAGCGACATTATAGTGCTCCCGATTAAGCTTTGTCCTTACTCCTCCGGCAATGTGTGTACATTGATAGCGCCTCTCGAAGTACCTGCTACGATCACCGAAGTCTTGGACGGTACCACTGAAATCGTAGTGTGAAGGAAGTATTTTGACTTTTCCATTAGCCACAGTCATTATCATTTCAGACAAACTTGAAAATGGGTGGTCGATTATGACAGGCAAGTCTTGAGCCGCAATTGGTAGCTTTTGCTTGGTCTACGTTTATGATAAATTCTGTCTCTCCAACAACAACCACTAAGGATGCTTCATAGCCAGTTATCGTTACTGACCTAAGTGAATTTTTTGATTCCATTCGAGAGCTTATTCTTCTCTGATAAGCACTACACTTATTATTGATATATTCTTTGTTATTTAGCTGCTGTATGTTACTGATTGCCACTAGATGCTTCTTTAGAGGACTGCGTTCTTAGGGTTAATTTCGCAAGCATTTATCAGGTCCATTTTCCCAAAGTAGTTATCTTCTCAACCTTCGGATGGTAATTTTCTTCTATTCAATAGCATTCTAAGAGACGTAGCGAAATCTTGATGCTTTAGAGATAACTTCAAGAGCAAACCCTTCAAGTTATCCCATCTCAAATCGTCTGAGGTTAAGTTACCAAATCATTTCGAGCTAGGCTACCTACCTGCATATGAAAAACTGTTTTTTGCAATAGATTTCCTGGTTTGAACTCTGGTATGTAAAATGAAACACAGGTTTTACAAAAACTGCTGATATTGGAACTCAGTTGGAACTGTTATTTCACCGGAGCGACTTTTGCTTCAATAACAAGTCAACAAAAGCCACGTACAAAAGGAAACAGACACCTTCAACCACTCAGCATAGAGCAAATCCCGGAATTATCAAGAAAACCGCAAATCTTTTTAATTCAACAAGAGTTTATAATCGACTGACCATATTTCTTGTCTTTTCTTGTCCTAGAAGGATGCATTGTTTTTGTGTCGTCCTTCTGCGGATCACTATGAAACTTTCGCAATATCGATGTAATTTTATTCCGCATGCACCCTGTATAAAGTGTTTTTCTCATCTCACCGAACTTCAAAGTCACGGCAAACTTAAATAAATACAAAAAATGGCATTCCGCAAAGGGACTCTTTAAGCCCGCTTCTTTTTGGCATCGCAATGGAGTAAATAATAAATCAAGTTCGCAGAGGATACAAAATGGGAAATAGGGAAGTTCTTGTGGCGGAGAACGAAGCTAATCTTCAAAGACTTCTGTACCAGTTCAATAAAATAGCCAAACAGTTTAATATGGTTATATCTGCAGCAAAAACAAAATCGATGGCAACTCAGTCACCGGTCAGATGCAAACTTGTGGTGAAGGACAAAATAATACAACAGCAGATGAAAATCACATATTTGGGAATTGAAATATCTGGATACTGAGAAGTTGACATATCAGTAAGGAAGCAAGCTACAACAGCGTCTAGTGCAGCAGCATACCTGAACGATACCATCTGGCGAAATCATCGGAACTGAAACAAAAGCCAGGATATATAAAACTGCTATCCATCGCCTTTATGCAGCAGAAACCCTAAGACCTCGAAAACAAGAAGAATATTAGAGACCACGGAAATGAAAATTGTTCGAAGAATAGCGGGAAAAATTCTCATAGATAAGGAAAGAAATGAAGATATTATGCGAGTGTAGATAACATCAATGACTGGGTGTTGCATATAAAGATAAAATGGAATGAACACATTGATCGTATGGCAGAAGAACGAATAGTGACGAAGGAGCCTTAGAAGATTTAGAAAAAAGTGGAGCGACAACGTCGCAAATGATGGCAAAGATGTGAAGAAAACAGGCAATCATGCCTATAGGTAATAGGAAGAAGAAGAAGCACAACAAATTTTAGAAGTTATTTTTTCAATTATCTGGCGCATCCTCTATGATGGAGGAAAGCGGAAACTCTATCCACACAATTTACGATATTTCTTAGACCAAATTATCCCAAGATTTATAATTTCTCATTAACAACGGCTATCATGAATAAAAACGAAAATGGCAATTTTCAGGGTCTTCTTTATTTTTGCCCATAATCAACACACCCTGTACAAAATTGAAAAAATGCCGGAAATAGAGGTTAGAGTCCGGGGTCTTCTATGTTCCCTGGTATAAGAATTTTTTTAAAAAACTAAACGGTTTTCGGGAAAATAATTTGTTACTGAAACTATGCAGTCCGCATTAATAGTCAATGACGTCATATCTAGACTGCGCCCGAGGAATAGGATTTTTTGAAATATCTCGAACAGCGTCTGTGCTAGAGGAAAACCGTAAATGTAAAAATTATAGCCCTTGATATGGCCAACAACACTGTTTAAACCGATTAATCATAGTTTTTAGGCATTTTGATTTACGGTTAATAATTTGATCTGGAAAAGAACATTTGCACGTCTTTTAGGTTTGTACCAACAATTAAAAAATGCCTAAAATAAAAGTTCTAGTTCTGGATATGCCGCGTTTTCTGGCACAAGAATTTTGCGGATCGGATCCTCATTTTTCGAGAAATGAATTTTTTAAACAGCCCAAAACGAGGGCAAAAAATTTTTGGAAAATTTTGAAAAGATTGCCGATGTCCGATTGCACTTAGTTTTTTAACTTTCAACAACCTGTATAATATGCGAACACTTCTAATACGGCCTAAACTGTCATGTAGAAGGAACCGAAAACTGGGTAACAGAATTTAACTTAAAGTAATTTTTGCAATGGTACCTCAATTTTCAATTTATTGGAAATACCGGCGCACCCTGTCTATATTAGAAAAATTGTTGTTTTCGATTTTTAAAAAATACTTCCCAAGCAGACACTTATCATGTTTCACAGCAATGTCCAAAAAAGAGTCGAAAATCGGAAAAAAAGATGGCCGAAGAGGTTCGATCGCCGCCATTTTTAAATATATTGTGCGGATCATGAACGGTAAAAAAGAAGCCAAATTTCAAACCCCTACCTTAATCGATTCGAATGTTATGGCGCTGAATAGATTCTGTCTACAGAGATCGGAGAACAAACAGACAACAAAAATCCCTAGGACCAACCGTTACCGAGATCTCGAGTTTAGTGAAAAGCGCGTATACGTTCCAAAATAATCGATTTGATCGATTTTTCTAAAACAACAAGCTATTTAGCCAATGCTTGCGCGTGAGTCTCTTTATAGAATTGGCCCTTACGCAAGAACGTTTAGTTTGCACTAAGATAAACAAAGAACTTTTATTTCAATTTTTTTTCAATAATGTGGGATAACGCCATCCGGTGATAAGCTAATAGTCTAGGAAACACCGTTTTCAATTAGTCCAAGGTTGTTATAATCCATTAGGCTATTTCGCAATGCCCTTACTAGGAAATCCGGTATATATACTGAATACCATAAAAAAAAGAAAACTCACCATTATTCAGGGCAAAATAGATCGCGACATTGTTTACGTTCGCTGCGGACAAAGCGAAAATCATGAAACTGATCGCCAAGGTTCTTAAAGATGAAGAAGTAGCATAATCACTTCCACATTCCGGGGGGCGTCGAAATGTATGCCGGAACCCATGATCCGTCGAAACGGTATCACCCCGGAATGATAGCGCTGCCGCTTACCGCCCCCGCCGGCGCATCGAAACTACTTTCCGCGTTTAAGGGTTGCAAACGAGGGCGGGCCAATTTGAGGATCATAGTTGGCTTTGGTCGAAATCGCGGGGCAGTTAGCGTCAGATCGTCGCTTGTTTGCGCGTGTCGGGGTGACGTTTGCGATGAGTTTTGCGAAGTAGGCGCCGCATACCAAGCCATCTGCGATGTCGCAGGAAAGCACGACGTTCGGTCAGAGCAGGACGAGTTTTTTGATCGAGGACATCCTTTTCCGGCAAAAGAACGAGGACAGTGAGATTTACCACGGTTTCGCCTCGACCCTGGACGCTAATAACAAAATCGGGGTGAAATCGGACGGCGGTAATGGCAAGGGGTTTCAGTTGCCGCAGAAACTGGCGGAAAGCAAGGCGGCGGTGATGTGCTCGAACGGTATGCCGGACCCGAGGGGCGGCAAGGAATACCCGCCCCCGCCCGGATATTTCCAAACCAACGTGGTGCAGGGTGGGTTGGTTCAGGGTTTCCAGCCGACGGAAAGCGGGTATATCCAGGTGATGGGCGCGTTGGGAGCGTATCTGGGCACCCCCTACAAAAACATGACCGACCCTTACTTTTTGACCCAAGGTAAGTTATATGGCGACACCAGTACGATATATTTCATATAATTATAATAATCATTTTATTGTTTAACTATATTAACAACTATACAATATACCACGTACCTACAGAACTGAAGACTATACATATGCTTTACAATATATAATATTCATAGAGAAAAAAACAGTTATTTGTAGTAGGAAATAAAGAATAAAAAAATAAAGCAGGCTCTGAATTCGTAGCAATGGCTACATCTTTTAATCTTGTGATGACCATTATGGTAGCTGTTGACAACATACTGACGAATTCAGACTTTGTTCGTGCCAGTCTAATAGAATATTTTATCTCAGACCATTTGGCGCAGAAAATTTTGTTTGAAATTAATGTGCATAAGGCTACAAAAGAATTTTCTCAGTATTAAACAAAAGCAGTTTTCTGTGCGATTTGGAGAGAGGAAACTTTAAATGGATAATTCCGTGGACACATATATAAGGATGTTTGCTCGATATTTTCCTGTAAAAAAAATTTGCACTAAACCGAAAAAAATCCCGGAAATTATAAATTGCAACAAGAGGCTAGATTTAACACTCAACTTGAGTAATCGTGACGTACAATATAAGGATACTTATAAAGCTACAAAAAAAGAATATGATGGACTACTAAAAAACGCACAAAGTCTTAAACATGACAAACGGGTAATTTACTCAGATAATAAAATGAAATGTTATATAATTACAGGGAAATGCCCTCCCAAAAATGAAGTAGGTTAAAAAGCTAATTTTTCAAAAAAACTTCCACAGGCTACTGTAATGCTTTTTACAAAACTTCCTGCAAGTTCGACTCAGCAAAAACCGACGTAGGCGAAATCCAAAAGATTTGTAAAAAGTAGGTTCAAATGCTTAAAATCGGAACCATATTCTGCGGTATTCTACACAACAACCAATCTATGATACTAAATCCAATAAAACCAGAAGAAATTTGTGGACCACAAGTATATATCAAAAATAAACATAGCAGTGGGGACACCCACAAGTATTATTAAAAAGTCAATCGTCGAAATTAAAAAAGTATTAAGCTACTTAATTGATAATTGGCCTTAATTAAACCGTTATACAAAAAGGGAGAGGTCGAAAAAATTAACAGCTATAGACAAATAAGTCTCCTGTCGGGATCCTCAAAAAACTTTGAACTAGCTATATGCCTAAGATTAACAGATTTTATGATTGACTGGAACCAATTTAATTCAAATTGGAAAATTGACGCAAACGGTTAGATATCAATTTTTGCAAACACTTTTCAATCACTATGATTGGCTAGTTAGAGAGATACTATTACCTAAATTAGAGACATATAGCGTAAGAGGTTTGGAACTAAAATGGATAAAGTTATATCTAAGCCAAAGTTCTCAAATCGTTAGTGTATACAAAAATGGACATTGTGAAAAATCAAAAGATTGCTATCATAACCACGACGTAGCACAGGGAAATATATTAGGCATCATCATGTTTGTTATATTTACACGGTTAAAGAAAGTTCCAGACAAATAATAATAAATTATGCAAATGACACCAATAACCTAATTGGCTACAAGTGTTTGTATAAGCTCCTAAATGAATCCGAGACGTTCCTTAATTATTATTATATGATTCCTGGATAACAAATTAATTCTTAACACAGAGAAAGCAAATGCCGTATTCTTCAGAACCAAACAGTCTAATATAGAAACAATAGGCAACCCCAGCGCAGACAATAAAAACCTGGGCATATCAGAAGATACAAATTTTTTCGGCTTATATGAATGAAATGAAATGAAATGAAAAAACGCTCACAGTATTATATTTTGCTAATCAAGAATGAAATACGGAATAATCTATACACTCTATACATATCCCCCTGTGTAAAAGTGTGTAAAACCTGCCTCCAAATGTTAGACAAATTAATAATATTAATGCGCTTAAAATGGAAATTAAAAAACTCTTAATTGAAAATGTAAATAATCCGTATGTAACATTAAAGATATAATGTACGAAAATACGATTGTTCTAGCAATAAGTACCTGGCCTATTGAGGGTGTTTGACTTCATTTCATTTATTGTTAACATGAGTAACAATTTTTGAAATAAAGATCTATCTGTCTATCTAGTGGGCGTAAAAAGGAGACATCTGGACAACCAGATACTGATGAAGCCCCAATAATAATAAAAATTAGAACCATGCGAAAAACAAAACGAAGAGAAGCTAAGTACAACTAAAAGGATTAGGAACCGGGCCGTTGGGGTTGGAGGGAGGAGGTGTAGTGTTTGACTGTGTTTTGTTTAATTATTCTGTTCCTAAATGTCAAATCTGATTGCGAAAAGTCTTGTAAATTGAACTTATTTAGAATAAAAGCTATATTATAAGAAAACGATTTTTTTAAACTCTCTTTACGATGTTGAGGAACAGTCAAAGGCGCCTTGTGACGTAAATTTAAATTAAGTATATCACTTCTAAAATAAACTTTACTGTAGAGGTAAGGCGAATTTTTATGCTTAATGATTTTGTAGAAAAAGGACGCAGCATGGGAGCCTATATCTGTTAAACATACTAAGCCAATGAGATTTTTTTTAGGTAAGGTGTTATGTGGTGTCTGCGCCTCACGGCACATTACCAGTCTAAGATATGAATTCTGCACTTTCTAAATGCGATATTTTTCAACAGTATACATTAATAGAATGATTCAGTTGTGATAGCACAAGAGTATCACATATGTTTTCTTTATGTCGCGAGACAATCAATGACGTTGACTGTAGATGAACTTTAAACTACTATAACAAGTTCTGAGCACTGAGCACGTCCGAAATAAACTACAAATCTACAAATACAAATTTAATTTTAAACCGAAGTAAAATATAAAAAAGTATCCATAATGTTCAAACTGATTTCCAAGCACTGTGATGCATTAAAGACACGTTCATTAATAAACCGCCTGATTTTAAATCATAATTCCTCTTTACAAAATGATTCAGCGACATTTTCAATACTCTGCCATAATTCATCTCGAGTATGAACTACTTCTTCATACACTAGCGATTTCGTATACCCCGAAACACAAAAATCGATAGGATTGAAATCTGGACCCCTAGGCGGCCAAGGTGTTTACTAACACGACCAATCCAACGATAAAGAAGTTGTTTACCTAAGTAGTCTCTAACATGCCTTGAAAAGTGCACCAAAGGGCATCTTGCATGTTCTTTTTAACTCTAAAGATCGAGGCACAGCTCTCCGTTTAAATTAGTTGGTAGTTCGATGAGTCCCACTATGTAATTATCAATTATTCTTCACCAAACGTTTATTTTAAATTTCTGTTGCAAGTGGTGTTTTAGACTTTCTGGATCTCACGCATGCTTATTTGTAAAGTTCTGTAAACAGTATTTTATTTATAAACATTGGGTCGGCATTTTGCCGGACCCTACAAAAACGAACATATTCCAATCTGGGTCAATAAAGATTTCCTTGGTGAAAACCTCTACAAACTGTAGATTGTAGAGATTGTAACATTCCGCTTCCCACTGTCATTCATCTTGTTGGACTAAAATGTCCGGTATAATTATTTTTGGTTGGCCCACAGACTCCCTCTTAGGGCGGAACGAACCAGTTTCCACGAGTTTCCTACAAATATTTTCAAATATTTAAAAATCTGGGCGCATTCGCCTTGGAAACATCTCCCAATCGCGTCTATGAGTTCGACGCCCATTATAATTCTATAAAAAATAAAAATTATAATTCTATAAAAATAACAATACCATGTCGCACATTTCCAGGTTGGAAAACAAGTTATGCATTATCGGAACACCTTTATTGCATTTGTTTTAGTCAAAGCCTACTTTTAAAAATTTTGCATGATCACATGAAACTAATCAACTAAATGCGACGAAAATTTCAAATGCGAATTTCTCAAAAACGGCGACTCGGGGCAAAATGTAATTGTGTACTTTTTGTGTAAGAAAAGTGGAAAAAGTGCTTTTTCTAACATGTTATCAGCTATTTCAATCAAATATTTGGCCATAGCGCAAGTGTTATTAACAAATTATATTTAGTTTTCAAGCCATTTTGTCGACAACAAATTTTGTACAGAAAGGTTAATTCAAATTTACAATCTCCAATAGCTACTGTTTACAAAACATCTCGATTCCTCCCGCTCTGTTTCTTGATGAATCGAACATGCTTACGTTTCGCCGGTCATCTTGTAGGCTTCTTCGGAGCTTCACTGAAACTCGTAGCTCCTTTTTGATCATCCCCTTCCTTTGCTGTTCCTTTTTTTGCATTTTTTCCCAAAAAGCCGTATTTTTTCGCATTTTTTTTAATGTTTGTCGACAACATCTATGACTATAGTGAACCCACGAATAATAAAATCTGGCATTTGCTAAAAGTGATTTTTAGATCGCGTTGCTAGTAAACCATTGTCAAATCCATTTTTGCTGCCAATGTGAATAATTATTAATCTTCTGCCTTTTCTCTCTCTTCCAGTGGACCATATGTGCCATGTTTCATCAACAGTATATCCAAGTTTCATCCAGATAATATTGATTCCTGTTTCCTTGCGAAAGCGTTTCACTATTCTTAAATATTGTCGTCACCAGCACATAATTTCATTTTTCTCTATCAAAAGTGTTTTTTCTGATTTGAGATTTTTCGTAAATAAAATTCATTTCCTTCACAGGTTTCTGCATTTTTTTCTTACTCATGCCTTATCATTTCACACATTATTTTGTCCGAGGTAGGTATTTCTGAAGTAAAATGAGCGTATTATTCTTCTGATGGATCCTCATTTATTACAGTTTATTTTCTTCCTGTTCTTATGTTTGGTGACCACAATTGTTGCCTGTCCAACTGATTTTCTCATTTTTAGAAAGCGCAGTATTACTATTCCGATTCTTAACAACAAAAGCTGTTAATAACTATACCCATTTCCGAGCTGGTTTTTTAGTCTCTGTTATTTTTTACGAAATATTCAAAATTTGCGTGACAAAATGTAAGCATGGATTTGGTGAAAATAAATAAGAACTAAACGTTCAGATTTTCACGAAATTATATATTTTGACACGACAATTGTTTCGACAGCACCGTGTCTTTCGAAACAATTGTCATGTCAAAATATATAATTTCGTGAAAATCTGAACTTTTAGTTCTTATTTATTTTGATAAATTAATTTTCCTCAAGTAAAATCTTCAAAGTCTACATCCCTCGAGTAAAAAGTTCTATGTTAGTGTCGTTTTGCCTTCGGTGACTTATAGTACAGTCCTCTGGGGACTAAGATCTGATGATGCTATCGAGAGGGCGGAGGTTGGTTTTTCAAGCAGCTTCTTTGTCTCCCATAAAGTACACCAAACCATTAGAAAACACTAGTATTCTCTGCAGATCAACTTTATAGAATTTTGAATGATGATTATTGATTGAGAACATAGCTTTGATGGACCACAGTGATGGTGCATATTTTCGTTGTCCAATTCAATTTTTAATTAATTTACTCTCTTGTGCGCGTTTTAGATGAGCTTAGGGAAAGACAGTGATCACAGAACCAACGATTAATTGTTTTATGTGAAATTAAACACGAAACATCATCTGTGAAAGCTGTAAATAGAGCGTTAACATCTATATTATCAACTAATTTGGTTAAAAAATAAGAATATCGGACCCAGAACCGAACCCTGAGGTACTCCGGTGAAATATTTGATGTTATATTATTGTTTTAAAGTCAATATTCTGAAAAAACGTATCTTTGTAAAGGAAGAAGCAAATACATTACAACACAGTAATACACCACTAATTTGAAAATCCCTAAAAAATGCAGACGAAGTCCATTAAAGTGTGCTTATGTGTTTAGTATAAATAATATTATAACTGTTGAAAAACTATTGGATACTAAATATCGGGTGAGAAAAAGCCAAGCGGAAAAAGTGTTCAAGAGGCAAATGACTTAGATGGCTTATTGTTTAGAATCAAACACACTTTTTTGCCTCTTATTTCTCGAAAAGGCTGTTCAATAACGAAAATGAAAAAATCAATAAAACGGTTGTCGATGAATCTTGCTGACAACCGACGCATTAGGAATCCAGAGTTTTGTAGAAGTTTATTTGAAAAAAAAAATTAATATAAAATAATGTAAATATAAAAGAAGCAAAAATTTCTTATACAATTTATTTCAATTAAAATGAAATTCTGATTTATATTTCCTTAATCTTAGTGTTAGGAGCTTTGAATTTTTGGTAACGTGGCAGTATTTAAAAAAAACTCTTTATATAGGAGGAAAACTGAGTAATGCGGTAATTTTGGATACGTATTGTTAATTAATGTAACATAACGGTCGATAGAGCAGGTCCGTAGGCGTGATTTTATTTTTTTATTAAACTATAAAATGTCATTCGTATATATAATTAAACTGATGGCGCCAAATGCCTTATTTTAGATTTCTACCTACCTACTCTAACATTTGGTTTCGTTAAAATAAAGAAGAAGGCGAACAAAAAGAGAGAAAGAAAAGAACGAATTGTAAGTTTTCCCTGTTTTTCAGGTATACCTTTTCACCATTCGCTGTTCGGTAGTACGGCTAGCGAGATCTCCTTGAACGCTTTGAAACATTGCAGAAGGAGGAAAGCGCGGACAGTCTTTAGCGATCCCCAATTGACAGGTAGGCAACCACCTATCGTTTGCACAATGAGCTTGTTTGCAACACTCGTTTTTGCACATCACAAAATTCTATACCATTTTATCATTAAAAATTTCAGACTTTTGGCTTTCTCCATTTTGAGGTTAGAAAGCGTCGTGACGTCAATCTCTGCATTACTAGCCTTCGTTGTTTATATAGGTTTATATAGGATACTGTTGTTTAAGAGTATTTTGGTAATGGATTTACCTAAAATAGGTTTTGTAAGGGCAAAACATTTTTCAGGTAACAGATTATTTTAATAACTAATAGACGACTGCGACTAATAGATTTGTGGAGCTCAGTAACAGGTTATATTATATAATATATATAATATATAATATAGCTAATATTTAACAAATTGAATATACCCACTCTAGGTACATGATTATTATTATAATTAATTTAAGGAAAAAACCATATTAGCAAAAAGTACCGGAACATATAAGGGGTGTTTTTTTTTTCGATGTATAGAACTTTAAGTTGCAATAAAACAACGATGGATTATTCGATTGACATAAATTTAATTTTTTAGAAAAATAATCTTGTGGCATTACATTTTAAATATGGCATATGACAGCCACGGCTGGCGCGGATGTAGTCCAATCTGGACGTCCAATTTTCGATGACTTTTTCCAGCATTTGTGGCTGTATATCGGCAATAACACGGCGAATGTTGTCTTCCAAATGGTCGAGCGTTTGTGGCTTATCCGCGTAGACCAATGACTTTACATAGCCCCACAGAAAGTAGTCTAGCGGTGTTAAATCACAAGAGTTTGGAGGCCAATTCACAGATCAAAAACGTGAAATTAGGCGGTCACCAAACGTGTCTTTCAATAAATCGATTGTGGCACGAGCTGTGTGACATGTTGCGCCGTCTTGTTGAAACCACATCTCCTGGACATCATGGTTATTCAATTCAGGAATGAAAGAGTTAGTAATCATAGCTCTATACCGATCACCATTGACTGTAACGTTCTGCCCATCATCGTCTTTGAAGAAGTACGGACCAATGATTCCACCAGCCCATAAAGCGCACCAAACAGTCAGTTTTTCTGGATGTAACGGTGTTTCCACATACACTTGATTAGTTTCGCTCCAAATGCGGCAGTTTTGTTTGTTGACGGAGCCATTCAACCAGAAGTGCGCTTCATCGCTAAACAAAATTCGCTTATGAAAATCGGGAACAGCGGCAATCTCGTTTTGGGCCCATTCGACGAATCTACGCCTTACTTGATGATCGTTTGGCTTCAATTCTTGCACGAGTTGGATTTTTCCGCAAAATCTTCCATAAAGTGGATGGACACAGATCCAATTCCTGTGCTCGATGGCGGATGAACTCATTCGGTCTTCCTCAATGCTACGCTACAGCAGCAATAGCTTCTTCTGTACCGTACGGCGTCTCTGGGGATGCGAGTTATCAATAAGAGTAAACGTGGTGCGAAAACGTTCCATGGGTAATCGAATTAACTGCTTTGATCGACGATTTTATCGATGATAAAATGAACGTAGTGCGTGATACTTATTCCGCACAGAACCATTTTCGAAATAAAATTGCACTATTTGCAAGCGTTGTTCAGGCGTGAGTCTATTCATGATGCATTGCCAAACCAAACTGAGAATAAATCACTTGACAGCTGTTAAATAGGTCGCCATCTTGAACAGTAATGCCAACTTAAAGTTCTATACATCGATAATAATAACCCTATATAATTCAACCAATGCTAACAGCCTTCACTTCGCTACACTTCTAAATTCATTGCAACAAAAGTAAATAGGACACTCCATTCGAAATAATAAAGTTATGACGTGTAATGTAAAAGTGGTAAATATGATAACTTTATTGTTAGCGCTTTTGAATTTTTTATATTCAAAAACCCCGGGGTATAGAATTTTACCGTTCCAGCTTTCGTAGTTTCGGAGATATTTAAGCGAACTTTTTGCTTGCGAGCATTGAAGATGCCAAGTGAGATTTTGGCGACTTCCACTGATGTGATGTGGGGTATGTCGGATTCTTACCGACTAAAAACCCCTCCCCGTTTAATCAAATAAACAACATGACGGAACTACCCTTAGGTATTACTTCATCATGCTGCTTGGACCAGTTCATCTTTTTCTTTGATGCTCCTCTATCTCCTTTTGTACGAGAATTCTTTTGGCCATTTCGGAGACGCTATTCCAGACTTCCTCGCAATCTAGCATTCTCTGCACGACATTCTGTGGTGTCAAAGGGTTGCCACTTTGTTTCTCGACTTTTCTCCGCTCTTCACACCACCTCGGACAAACAAAGAATGTGTGTTCAGCGCTGTCTTCTGTATCACCGCAATGCAGGCAGGTTGGTGTGTCCCTAATCTTAAAGCGATAGAAATAAGCCATGTAGCAACCATGTCCTGAGAGGAGCTGGGTGAGATAGTAGTTAAGAGTTCCATGTTTTCTGTTACCCCAAGGTATTATATTAGGGATTAGTCTTTGGGTCCATTGACCACTGCTGGTCGACTCCGACCACCGCCTTTGCCAATGTTCAAGAGTGTTGCTCTCGCGGTTATCTTGAACGCCCTATCTTTCCCGCACGTTTTCTCCCTTTCTTTCACTTGCAGATCTATTAGGATTATGTTTGCCAATACTAGCACCGCACTAGTTGACACCGTTCTGAAAGCACTACATATTCGAATAGCCATTTTCCTTTGGATCTTTAGCATTATATTTCTGTACTTCCTGTGTTTTAGAACTATCTTCTTTTATGGCCAGGAAAATAAAGTTATGGTCAGACAGATTTTCTTCGTCCGATACCTCCCAGCTTAAGATTCTGGTTGCTAGTCTACTCGTTGCGAATGAGACATCAATAAATGACTCGCTGGTGCCCCTTTTGAATGTTGGCATGGTGCCTCTGTTTAACACGACCAGGTCCAGTTCAGAGCACCATTCCGAGAGGATATCCCCTTTGTGGTCGTTTATGGGTGAGCCCCACATCACCGACTTGGCATTAAAGTCTCCACATATAAGACATTGTTTCCTTTGGTTACGGATACTTAGTTTCAAGTGGTGTAGGAAACGAAGATAAGTTTCTTCGCCCTCATTTGGGGATATATAACAACTATATATAACTATGTCCAAGTAGTTTATCCAGACAAAGCCGATGCCTTTGCCGCTGTATTGGGAATGTCCAGAGTTATTTATCACTTGTATCGCCGAGTCTAAGTTATCATCTCTCTGCCATTTGTTTCTCGTAGCAATTTTTTTATTTGGCTCGCTTAACACGGCCACGTCTATTTTCCTCATTCCTATAGCTTGCCGTAACATGTCATGTGCAGCGTATCATCTACCTAAGTTTACTTGGAGAATTTTTACCATTTTTCAAGATTGGATACTACAGGCTTTGTAATACAGCCCTCCTATAGACTGGGCACCTCATCCTGAGCAGTTTATGACTGGACACCTGGCATATTACACAATGCAAACTCTTCACACAGTCCTTTCGTTGATGGTTTTCTTCTCCACAGTTAATGCACAGCTTAGGGCATTCTTTAGCCATATGTCCTACGTTCCAACATTGGAAGCACGAGGTGATATTGACTTTTTTTCTTATTGGACAACTCGCCAGTCCGAATTCTGATTCTCCCCTCCTCCGTAAGTTTATATGCAATTTCTTTGGAGACAAAAACTGTCGCAGCTTGTGTTTCTCTGAAAGACGGTCTAAGAGAGCTAACTCTAACCTCTCCCGTAAGATTATTTCTTGTCATAAATGTTTTAATTTCGTTTACTATTTCGTCCGTGGTAGTGATTGCATCGATGTTTTTTATATGCAGTATAGCTCTTGATTCACTTCTGGTTATGGTTTTTATCAGTGCATCACCATTGACGCCTTTAAGAGCCTCAGCCATGTGTGCTGCTGTGCCATATTGCCTTTCTATTGCCAATATTAGGTTACCATCTTTAGACTTTCTTACTCCGCTAACTAGGTTGCTTAGTTGTCGTTTATTCAGTTCTATCTTCACAGCTGTAAGCAGTTCCGCATAGGATGTGTCCCCTTTTTCTACCACAACAGCCTCGGATGGAATTTTTGATTGTGGTCGCGAATTTTTTCCTGCATATTGCCTTTGTCTGTTTGTATCAGCTTTGAAGCTTAGTTCTACGGTCATTGCGCTGTTTTTTAATGCACATTCCACAATCTTTCTTCATCTTTCATGGTCCCACTTTTTCTGGAAAGTACAAGCTAATTTGGTTCTTCCTTTCTTAATAGTTATGTCTTTAACCTTTTTAATTGCCCTATATAGCTCCTGAGATGCCTCCTCTTCTTCTTTCTGTAAATCAGTGCCCACCAAAAATGTGAACCTTTTCAGATTTTGCCCGTCTTCAGTCTCACTTTCTCCATCGAGTAATTTGCTGCTGGTTTCCACGTAAATAACGTTCTCTGGCTCTGGTTTACTTCTTTCAACCAGGTCCTTAATTTGAATCACCCGTTCGGTTAATCTTCGAATTAGAGCAGAGTTGTCTGCCTCCTTTGGGTCCATAAAAACTATGAGACCCGTTTCATTGATTACATTATGCAGGGTATCGTTTTTTACAACTGTATGTGTAAAGGCATCGTGCTCCCATTCTCTGGCAATTCAATTATTTAGCGCATTGTTATCCAAGTCACTTTTAATGATACTCTGGACATCCATATTTGTTAATTTAGCTTTGGCCTGATTTTCAGTATGTGTTCGGTCCGCTTGCATTACAATTTCTTCTGTTAGAGTGCCTATTTCTGTGCTATTTGTTCTTGGCGACGCATCCATTATCTTGTTGTCCCTAAGGCTCTCCAGCGTTTCCTGTACTTCTTGTCCAAGCAATTGTTCGGGTAATCTTTGAATTTTTATTGCTGCCTCCCTTATTTCTTTTTTCGTGTTTGAGCTTTCTCGTGATGTTCTAACCAGAAAGTTTGCTTAAAGACCTAATGCCTGTATGGCCTTTAGAATCTTTGTCGCACAAGCTTCTTTAGCTGT